TTTATTTATTATTATTATATATATGTTATATTTAATTATTTATTATTTAATTAATATTATATATAGTGACATATATATATATATATATATATATATATATATAGTAATATTAAATCATTTAGATAAAACATATTTATATAAATAAGCTTTTTGGAAATTTATCAAATTATCGAGAAACGATAAGAAATTAAATACGATTAAATGATAATTAATAAGAAACGATAAGAATGATAACTTATTAGTGAAAAGGACTTAATTAAATTCTGTGTCAAAAACCATTATGGTTTGACAATTGCTAAAAACTACAATGTATACTATCTGGAAATTCCTGATTCTCGGGGTCATTTTGTTTCTATGTTTTAGAGATTTATGTTTCAGAGATTTATGTTTCAGAGATTTATGTTTCAGAGATTTATGTTTTATGCATTTTACAGATATTTTTTACTTTTCAAGGAAATATTTTTTAACGTTATAATTTATGCGCAGACTACAACGCAACAGCTGACAATAAACTCGACAATAAGTTTTTCAGCGCTCATCTCCCTGTTGCTCAACGATTAAAAATAACCGTTAAGCACCATGATACAATATTGCGGAGATATAACGCGTCTCTTTTATGACAAAATGATTCAAATTAATATTAACATTTAACACGATCAATATACGCATAGTCAACGATTTTTATCGGAGCAGCGAAATTCGAGATTAACAAGGGGTTATAACGCGTTTGCGCCTGAATTCCCAAGATTCCACACATGCGTAACATCGCCAGTGGCGGAATTAAACGTACTATAGCTCTTAACTATAATCCCAAACTCTATCAATTTAATTTAAAGCGGAAAATCTAAGTGGAAAATGAAGAATTTAATATTTAAAACAGTATTTTATTATTACTATTTACTGAGCGTAGCAAACATGTAAGCGCTCACATTTTTTTGCACAGACATTGTCAATTTGAACTACGATAAAATGCAGCAATGTGTAGATATTATCTCAATTGCTTGGAATTTTTAGATCTTAACAAAACAATGTGATTAGTAAAGCAAACCACACCTCTGACTTCGTATTCTGTGACACAAGTCTGCACAAGAAAAATCAAAATCAAATTTTAAACTAAGATTTCAGAACATGTCGGAAAAGGAAAACATGTCTACAAAAAGCGGAGTCTTTCGTAATTGTAAGCCGCAGCTTTTCCAGTTTGTATATGTAAATTCGACCTCGATAATCGCGCACTCACCTGCGTTATCGAGCGTGCACAGGTCCATGCGCGAGGGATGCTGGAGCAGGATGTACGAGAGCACACGGTGACAAGGAACGCGCGTCGCCGACTGAACTCCCGCTCTGTGCTCGCCCATTAAATCACGGGAAACGTTGCACCAGCGCGCGCAACTTTGTCAAATACGATACGGGAGACGGTGCTACCTTGAATTTGACCTCCCATAGAATTTGATCATAGAAGAGCCATTGTACTCTAAAATCATATTCAATTTCCAAATAAAAGACCATATAACTCGCAAATGAGAGCGTTACAGAAAGAAGAGCTTCACAGTTAATACAAATCAAATAGCGAGAATGCTTTGTAGCTATTAATTTAAGTTAACTGTAGTTTAACTTTCCCGAATCGTTCTGTGTCAAAATTAATTCATATTGAATTTATAACATTTTTCGATATACATTTACTATAGCAAATAAAACTTTTTATTTGCAATCATTGACATCAATCATCTAATTATTCTGAAAGCAAAGAATGATTCTGACTACTAAATATCAAATAAAGAAAATTTGGCACAATTCCAAAATGGTGACACACATTTTTTTCAATTTGTACGTGTCTTCTTTCTGAAGTAATAAAAATATATGAAAAATTTCAAGTTTTTATTTCGCAGACAAACGCACTGCAGCAGAAGCACCGTCTTTTCATTTTGATGGGTGGAAACTTTTTATTACACTTTCATATCTCTTCCACAATTGACGTAGCTCTTTGCTTCGAAGTAGATTAAAAAAGCAAGATTATGGTCAAATTTAATGCGTACAAAGCGGATTTTGTTGACACTTTTATTTATATCTCTCAAAAGCTTTATCAAAAATGTTTATTCTAAAAAAGAAGAGACTGATTAAAAAATGTATAAAACTATAGTTATCTTGATACAAACAGGTATTAAATTAACTAAATAAATTATATTAATGGTTTTAATGTAATAGTAAATTTTATAAATTTAATTACACTAACAATTATAATTAGTTAATTATTTTCGTAGAATTACGTAGAAAATAGTGTTATTTCTTATATTTGTTTATTTTGTATATTATGAGAAATTCTTGCGCGAGAAAATAGTTACAATTTAATTACAGTCACTTAATTAAATTGATATAATCTTTCTGCGCACTATAAAACAGCTGGATGTGTCGTAATTGCGATTCTCGGTGACTCATTTACAAGCAGCAGGAGCACAATACATTGCACCGTGCAAATCATTCTAATTAGAAAGTCAGCATACGAATTATCACTTTTCTTTGTATACAAAATGTCCCAGACATTGGTCAAAGGTCAGAAAAGTTGATTAAAATTGGAAATTTTAGATTTTTATTTTAGAGGGAGACCATCTTTCTCTTATTTTTTTTATTGAAACCGTTCAATCTAACGATATTTCTGTGTTTTATTAAACTTAATTTCCGCGTTTTTTAATTTATTAATTAATCTTTTTTTTTTCATTGAGGTTACATAAAAATGCATGCTTAACAGTTGAATAAAAAATATTACACATAAGATTTTTTTTGTGCATAAAAACTCTTTAAAAGAACTATATATGTATAATAATCGTTAAATACAATCGTAAATCAGATTCTTGTTTCTCTTTTCTGATGCAAGTAATTAATCAATATTTTTTACGATTTATTCAGTTACAAGGCTAAACATAAATAAGAAATAGAAAAGAGGAAGGGTGAAAATGAGTACACATCCATATATGCAGTTTTCATTGATTTATTTTAACACGTTGATAAAATATATGTGTATATTTATCTGCAAGTTATATATATCTCTCTCTCCCAGAAACCTCGATCTTAATTTTAATAAAATTTTCTTTCTTTTAATAAATATTTTTAATGGGCATTGTTTGTTGCAGAGTTTTCATATTAAATGTTCAATATTTTAATAATAAACATTTTATAAAAGTAAAGTCTACATAAATTCAAACGAACAAATTTCGTTATTAAATTGCATACTACAAGCTTAATTTAAGAAAAATCTTTTTTGAATAACCCTTATTTTGAATAGTTCATAAAATACCAAAAATGTTTCGTGCTTTATTACTTTAAAAAATCGGCTAAGAATTAATCGAAAAATTCATCATTAAAATTTAGTTCGAAATCTGGGAACTATTCCATATGTTTATATGCATCGGTCTGTTTTCCACATTAATACCTATATTATGGTGGATACATTCGTAATGATAATTTTGCACGAGTTCGAATATTCCCGATTATCAATCACTCAGGAGGATTTGTACTCTAATAATACAAGAATGTATATCGCTGCTCGTTTGAGTCTGTCGAGCATCAGTTAGGCCCTACAATGCGGCACGTAATGACTTCTCTCCAATGATTTGAATCATTATAATTTTTTCACTTTTATTTCTCATAGCATCGAAATTACAACAATTCCAATCGCTGCTTTTCTCGAGGGAGAGACATAATGTTTTATTGATATTTTAAAACACGTGAGACGTGCTTAAGGAGCTACCGACTATGGCATGTCCACGTTACTAGGTAATTAATGGAATGAATACAATGCGCACTAGGCAGCTGCAACAGCATAGTTGCTGAATCACACGTATTATTTTACATTTTTTTTTCACTTCCACGACAACACATCGCGATATAACGATTTATAACAATGTAAAATTAAATGAATAGAATCAGTTCTACCGAATCTTGTTTTAATTAAAAACAAATAGTATTTAGTCGCTTTTTAAGTGACATCATTACTTTTTTTCTTCAATTACTTAAAATGAATTAAAAGATTGTTGCAGAATATATATTCAGATGAAAACCGAAAACAAAATTTACTAATGACAATATTTAGACATCGCAAAATTAAGTTTTACATTCGCTCGAATCCGACAGATAAAATAGAATAAAAATTCATAAATATTTGGATTATGCATAAGTAAAGTTTTATAATCCACACAGATTTTTCATTCGTATTTTTGTTCACGGATAAAAATATTAGGAAAAATGTACATTTTAAAACTGTTATTGCGTGTATCGTGCGCATATTTGGCCGATGTACGTAGACACGTGATCGGCGGCTAAAATTACTAAAGAAAGCACATTGTCAGACTCGTTTGAAACGATGGCAATTTGGTCCTCCTATACTTTCCCAGGCAACAAGGCAAGGCCTCGCATATACGAAAATACCTAATATAAAGAGAATTCGCGCGCAGTATTTAGTAAATATATATATTTAACAATTATTGCTGTAGACTAGCAACGGCTTATTCCTCGTCGTCCTCGGCATCTAGAATACTCTTAAAGTAAAATGGTTGGAAGGGGTATCCTAAGCCCTCGTAGAACTTGCTCATGAACTCGACCCTACAAGCACAGAACATAATTAAAAAAAAAAATTATAATAAGAAATTTCAATTCTCAAAACTTCGTTCGATTGACACTCCATAATCAATCAATATCAACAGAAGAACGACGATGTATCATCGATAACAATATAAAAGTTGATACAAAAAATATTTTATATCAAATAAAGTTAAAAATTCTTTACATTCTTAAAAAGTTATGTTCCCCTAACTTTACTTTGAACGAAACAACAATTGAGAAACAACAGACCACCGGTCTAACACGCACCAATGAAGTCGAAGTGTATGGAGAAACGCCGACAGGCCCTCCATTAAAACAAGAATGACGATGGTGAAAAAAGCCCAGGCGGCGAAGAAGATAAATAACAAGACACCCTTGACATAATCGTTTTCCTCGGCGCCTAAGCCCATTCGCAACAATCTGTTCCAGAGCACTTCTGACAGTTGAGAGTGGGCCAACGACAACGCCCACAATCGCAAATAGGAGGCAGTATGCGAGACGGTGGAAAGAACGTATTCTATCGTGTGAATGGCCTGATGGATCATCAGCTCGCCGAAACTGTCATCCTCGCCGTGGCCGCCCGCCGCCGGTTTCTCATTGCTGCTTTCGCCGTTTTGGCTCAATCCCTGATGCTGCAGCTCGATATCCTGAGACGCACTTCCGTTGCTCTGGACAACATCAGCGAACATCAGTGTTTCGTTCGCGATTAAATGAGAAATGTTAATTTTCTCAAAACGACAAAAAAATATTATTGACAGACGTAAATTATGAATATTAGTAATGTTTAAAACTTACGTAAGATTTCCCTGCGCTTCTCACTTTTTTCGTATACATGACGTATAGCGGTTTTCCAAAAAGCATCACCGGGATACATGCGATGCCGCAGAAAAAGAAAACCTTCTGCACGATAGCCTGCCCATCAAACATATACTGAGAGCAACCTAGGCTCACTTTGGCTTCTTTGAAAAGCATCATATTGATGAATGTAATCAGAACCGACGGTGCACAGCCTGGCCTTCGTAGTAACTCTGAATTACAAAACATGTACGTTAGCGACGTAGCGCTTACTCACTTGAAGATGTATTACCCTATACTCACGGTCAGACGAAGCGTTGTACAAAACCCATTTGATAAACATCAAGGCGGTCATGTAAGCAAACAGCAAGATAAGGAAGAACAATTGTGGCAGAAATTCAAGGAACAAGTTGGAATACTTCTTGAAATATCTAAAAAAATTATAATACGTGATAATAGCGACATACTCCAATCAAATTTTTCTCGGAGTTTTCGAATTACTTCGAAATTTAGATGTCACTAATCGTAGTGATTTTTTTTCACATAAAAAAAAGATATCTTATAATTTCAAGAACTAAAGAAATACAAGAAATAACACATAAATATGTATTATATTTATAATTTCGAAAATAGCAATAGTTTTGCAGCTCGCGACTCTCGTAATTTTCTCCGTCAAGACAACAATACTTACTTAATATTGACGAGGTTCATGCACACGCCAAAGATCATATGCGCGACACCGAAAATGATCGATAGCTTCATCTTGAACGAATTCTGAAATACAATTTTGTTGTGAGCGAGCGACCAAACCGGATCTACACCCAGTGGATAGGGATACTGTAGATAGTGTTTCGCTTTCTCTTCTGGCAACAAATTCAATGTCTCGTTCAAAGTTACATCATTGCGCGTATACGATGCCCTCCAACTAGATCCGAATATGTTAACTGACTTTGCGAATATGTCGTTGTAGATTAAACCGCTGTAGATGGAAAACAAACCCATGAGGAGGATGATGTAACGGCCGCCAAAGAATAGATTCCCAATTTCGTTGTTCGATTTTTGCGCGATGATCTTCTTTTCTTGTAAAATCATAGCCAAAGCAAAGAGTGTCAATATTAGCCCTGTAACGTGACAAATTTTATCGATAATGATAATCCAAAATGTATTTTGTTTTTCTCAGCTAATTCACTATTGTTCAAATTTTACTCACCGTGGCCAGCATCGCCGAACATAACGGCGAACAGAAAGGGAAATGTAATGATGGTGTAAAGCGCCGGATTAGCCTCGCGATACGATGCCACGCCGTACGCATCAATCAAATTTTGAAAACCACGCGTAAACTTGTTCGTCCTGTTAAAAGTTGGAGGATTTTCGTCGGTATGAATCACGTTGAGAAAAGACCGTATAGAACTTCCACATTGTCGCTAAAAGAAAATTATCCATTAATATGATCTAAAAATAGTCTTGTTACGAATTATAAATTACTTGCCGAAATATGATTCAATTATTTATCGCGCAGCTGCTCAAAGATTGATTATCTGCTTGAAAGTATAACTTGTAATTTTATTAAGTTTTCTAATAAATAATTCTGATAATGAAATTTTTATTCCAAACATTGCTAGCAAACGTTATATTTATTTTTATTTATTTACAATATTGTTCCTATCCAATTTTTGTCATATTTAGCATTTATTATCTACTTCTCTATTTATCTATCTTTCTTTCTTTTTATTTTTCTTTTCTTATTTATTTCTTTTCTTATCTATTTTAAATAAAATCTACTATAAGTTTAATTAGGTATATATATACCGATCCTTCCGACAGGCCGTTTTGCACGGTTCCGAGATCGGCAATCGGCACCCAACATTCCCCAATAAGGCACTTCTTGGAGACATCCATATTAAAAAGATTCATTGTATGATAAATAGCCTTCATTTTTCGCACCATAATGCTCCAATTTGGTAATTCTTTTGCTACATTATGCAAAACACGTTGACGATGATCTTGCGTTTTGCTTAAAACCTTAACAAGAAAAGTCACTGTCAAATGCGATATTTTTGCAACATTCCAAATTCTACCATTCTATCTATAAAGATCTAAATATTATATTACAACAGTTTTTATTTTAACATAACAACTCACCAAGTTAAGGTCTTCTAACCGTGTTCGCACATCTTTTAGCATATCCTGACGTTCAGTATTGCTGGTGGGACACGGATAAAGCGAAGCATGAAAACCAATACAAATTTTCTTAATACGCTTCTTCAGTTGCTCTCCTTGAAAAAATGCCACAAAGGCCGTTTTATAGAGTTCGTTGCCCTGAAAACATTCGACAGAAAAAAAGAATCAGGTGCATCGATGGCGATGACTCGATTTAATCCATGCTTATTGCATATCTTTCAAGAATGTATATGAATTATTATCATAATTAATTTTAAAACAAATAATTTTATAATTTTTATATTTCAAATTTGAACTGTTGAGTTTGCAATTTATATGCGATATTCAACGACACATAAACAAAAATAACTGACATCAACGCTCGCATAAAAATGAATATAATGAAAATTGAATTGAATTTGAATTATTTTTTCACGTAAAAATAAAAGAAAAATCAAAACTAACCGTAGCTGGATCTTCTAGTGGCTTATCAAGTTCAGTTTGCCGAAGAAATACATTTCCACGAGAAATACGCCAGAGCATTCTCTCGAAAGCCGGAACTCGTTCGCGATTTATTACCCCACCGACGAATCTGCGAGAAAATAGATGTCATCCTAGCAACATATAATTCATTAAACAGTATATTATATAATAGCGTTACATAACTGCTCATACATAGATTTATGTTAAGTGGAAGCTTTTGACAAACACACTTTTAACTCTGATTGTCATAATCATTCTGCATACATTACAGAAAATCCAAGGATCAGATAAGATAAAATCACTCGCAGAAAAAAAGTTTTCAATTTAAAATTGCTATATCTGACAATGTTTTCATTACAAGGCCATAAAAAAATATAGAAGCAGCACTTTAAAATTTATAAAAATTGAAACGAGTAAAATTCTACTGTTTAAAAAAATTTTTAGTTGCGAAAAGTTTCCTGACAAATATATTATTCATCACATTTGTTCTTTCACGCTTAGATTATCGCGAAAATGAATTAGTTACGCAACTGATGAGGTCAAAGAAAACTCACCCTTTTGCATTAAATTTTATGCAGTAGTAATAATAGTACGAACAATGTACGTATTATTCTAGAGCAAGTTAGTTTCTCGTTGAAATATGCGGTCATACAAAAGCAATGGACAGCATTTACGTATAAAAGCGTCCTTTTAATATTATTAAAGCGTAACACGTCACACGCGCGCGCTTAATATATTAACATTATATTTAACACGCGAGGAGGTCCGGCTTATCTGACAGCTCCGTCGGCCATGACTTACTCCAGACGTCCGCGGATCGAAACGGCTGGATTCTGTGCTTCCTCGTTAATGAGCGCCTTGGTGATCGAGTCGTTGGCTTCTTCCTGTTGATATAGAAGAAGAAGAAACGAATCTTGATTCTTCGACAAAACGGTAACATCGATTACACGAAGGAGGACGGCGCTACGAGCAAAAGCTGCTGAACTACTTTAGGTACCTCCGTGAAGAACATGTGCGTCTTCTCGAGGACGTGCCGTAACTCCGTCAGCTCGATATACTTGCTCTTCAGATTCATCCCGTTCTGGCTCAGTTCCTGTATCTCGTTCTCCGTTTTCTCGATATGCGCCTGTAAAAATACGATTGATACACTATCGCACCAATTAGAAATACCAATTGCGATAATTCTATTATTACGCTAAATATCGAGTCAGAAGAAATGTATATGTTTATAAAATAGATTGAAATGTGTATACCGCGAAAGGCAACTTGCATTGCAAACGTTGCATTTTACAAAGAAGATTTTACCTCGAGATCTATAATCTCGCGTGGGTTGGGTGCACGTGGTAGCTCCGCGAGATTATCCGAAATCGGCACACCGTCTTTCCTGACTTCCGCTTCGATGTATCGCAACTTGCGCTCGAGTTCGTCGCATCGTCGCACCTCGTTGACGAATTTCCGTTGAAAATAATTCACGTTGCTGTTTAGCTAAATGTCAAAGTTAATAATATAATTAGAATAATTAGAAAATTTTGTATCAAATCATTTTTTAATGATGCGCATGTTCAAACGAGTACGCCGAAAACTTCTTCTGTACAATTTGTACGTGTTTAAAGTATGTTATTATTTCAACATTATTTTAAAATATTTTTAGACAAAAAACAGAATCTATTTGCTACGTTAAATAGGCAGACTAAATATATTAAATAAGATAATTAATGAAGATTACATTTAATTCAACTTACATCGCGAAATTGCACCGCGCCGGTTTCGCCAAGTTCAGAAACGGAAAGGTAAGCCGCCTCCGGCTGAATGAACAGCTGGCAAAGGGCCATATCCTCGCTTCTGAACATCGCCCCCATCTTGAAAGCGATTTAATCCTTACCCTGTGATGAGAAATAATATTTCTTATAAACTGTACAGAGTCTGTGCCAAAATACAGTGGAAAATAACGAATACATAGCGCGACATTTTGCAACTCAATTAAAATTTCTCATAAAGTTGAAACTTTTATTTAATTTTTAGTTTTTTCTATCTAACATAAATGTTAGTATTTTAATAATTATTTTAGAAAAATATTATATATATTAAAAAATGCAAATTAAAAAAGTTTAAAAATATAAGATTCCATGAAGACATTCGTGAATTTTAACTAATAAAAATTACCGACAATATCTCGACATTGAGCAAACATTGATACTAGATAAGACAATTATACTTCAAGTCATGTCTTATTAGCACAATACGCACATTATTATCGATCAATAAATTTGTCGTGTAACACAATATTTTACATGAAACAAGAAACGAGGTCATTGTGTCGGCATGATAAAACATTAATATCATATATTTTAGTTATCTGTTGATTAATGTGTTTGTGAAATCTTTTAGCGGCGCAGGTGAGAAAAACAAGCTATTTCTATGAAGAAAATGACAAACCAGTATTGACTGGAAACTTTGAAAATTACAGTAAAACATTTTCAATGTTAGTAAAAAAAATTGACAATTTGATTTGTAAACGCGTTCATCTTCTTTAGGCTCGACCTTGGAGGATCAAAGATTTGCTCATGGGCGTGACGTTTGCAAAGTCAAGTCTATCGAATCCAATGTACACGTGTGACGCATTTTATCTATCGGCAAACAGTACATTTTAATGTAAAATGCAATGCAAAGTGCTAAGCTATAATTAGACGATACAACAGCGCGTACGCCTAATCACCCAAAATTCAAACAAAATTTTTTATTGCGTTATTTCTACGTAAACGTAAACATGTGCAAACACGAGTGCGAGATAAGCGAGACGTTCCATAAATATGTACGTGACTGAAAGTGGTACACTTGCATCGTTATCCTGCGTATCCCTCGTCGGAAAATCGCACTTTTATCACGTTCGCCAGTCGAGTGACACCAATATTATATCTTTCAAACGCCGTTCAGTAGTTAATATTATATAATACAAGTTGCACGTAATATGATACAGAATTTGAGAAGATAAACATTTATATAAAAAGTATTAATTTTCTCAAGGCTCAAAACTTTTATTATAATATATATAGCCAACGTATATATATGTATATTATATCTTTCTGATTTACGGAATTTGATCTTCTTCTACTCTATAATTTAATTATAGCTATCAATACAGTTGACTAAATCCATACAGTTATTATATAGCATATGTAGGTACACACTAAATATATTTTTAATTTGCCATTTGATCATCCAAGGATGTGTCAGTAGAATTTATGCGTGCATCTAAAGTGATTTTTTCCGGTAATTTCTGTCGTCACAGTAGCAATGTACGTTTATTCCGATAAGAAACCAGATAAGAAAAATTAACGATCAATTCCCAATCATCGGAGAGGAATTTCTTGGTGTAAAATTCTTGAAAGTCATTATTTGCGTACAATTCATAATTATTTTGATGTTATAAAAACTTATCATGTTTTCTTCTATTAATAAGCGAAGAAGTTTTCTCTCTCTCTCTCTCTCTCTCTCTCTCTCTCTCTCTCTTTCTTCGGAGAATTTATCGTCAATGATTACGGTTTGCTTTAGAGAAATTGATATACATATATACTACGCGGTCAAATTTCGAAGATAATAAGTAATTTATTCTTTCGATACATTCAATCGATACATACAGTCTCTGTGAAAGCGGATAAATGCTTTATAAAGATAATTCTAGAACTCTTGCCGCACGATAACGTAGCAGCACATCCTGACATTTCCCACGTGCCAACATATCACAGGGAAAAACAATAAATATACTTGAGCTGTTTTGATCACATGATATTCTTGTGAATCGATGATTATTGTAATATTTCGATATCATAATAATTCGTTCTCTCGAAATTTGTCTTATATTAAGGAGAATTTATTTAAATTTCTGAAAATTGCTTTACTTATCTGTTTATTCCGTTATAAAGACTAGATAAAAGAAATTAACAACCAGTTCCAATCATCAGCCAAAAATTTATCCGTATGTATCTTTTTGGAAGTTCTCGATATATATCGCAGACAAATCCAGTTTGTTAAAATATCAAAGAAGCCATCAATTCTTTTCTAGATGACTCTTCTAGTCGGGTTGCTTTATCAAGCAATACCACATCTCGTAACGAATTCTAAGAAGGATATCGAAAGTACTAACGCGTTATCAATACAACTACTTAAGATCTCAAGGTCTGGCTGCTCAAATCAACATTTTTGTTCACGTATAGAGAACATATTGTGCCGTGCCACACGAATTAGTTTTCTTGAATCGCGCCGTAAATATAAATATTTCGAGATAATTTCTTTTTTGAGACAGTCGCATTTTAACGAGAATATTTGTTTGAGTCAATCCAATTTAAATAATTTGTAATATAATATATAATGCCTTATTTGAAGAAAAAACAGCATAATGAGAACTTTCTACAGTAATCTCTCTCTCCTCCTTTCATTCTCTCCTCTAGTAAAATTTCTGGAATATTGCTAAATTTAATTGTCTGGCAAGTGACAAATTTTTCTTTCATTATTTTGTCGCACGGGAGACTGTAGTTGGTTAATTGACTTATCTTATGACACAGGCAAATGCGTTCACAAAAGTTATACGCTAAGAAGTCACATCTCATTCCTTCGAAATTTATAAATCGATTTTGATTGTTAAATTATTTGACATAAAGTAGAAAATTTTAAAAACAAAAATTCTACGCATTGCAAAGATTAGTGTGAACTTGTTACATGGGTTAACAAATATATAAATATTTTATTGCAATTTTTTATAAATATTATAAAGATTCTTTTTCTGCTAATATCGTTTGGTTTCATTTTAGCGAAAACAAATCTATCACTGCAACATCATGATTACGAATTAATATATCCACAACGCCGAATAATTAAAATTCGTTAATCAATCTTTCAATTTAAAAAAATATTTTTAAATTAAAGTTTTTTAAATTAGATAAAAAAATTAAATTTAAGTCAATAAATATATAGATGCTCTCGATATCGAATGAGGCGGAAGAGAGTGTAGCCATCGAATGTGACAATTGCGTGCGATAATGTAGTAAATACTCGTAGATAAATTGCGGCAAATTGGTGGCGGACGGGCGTTGGTTTCCTGTGAAATTGTAGAGACATCCGAGTCTTGCATTTTTACGGTAAAAATAAATAAATAAATAATTTATTTTAACATTGTTCAAGACTAACCATCATTATAGAAAGAGAGAAAAACTGATTAAGAGCAGTAATTTAGTGTATTCTAAAAAGAATATTGTCCAGAAAATATTATACAGTGGGAAGAAAGCATAAAGAACTCAATTAGATGAAAGAAACAGAAAGAGAGAGAGAAAGAGAGGACAACCACTTACGCTGCTGATTAGGTTGTAACCCTAATAAACTCGAAGCAAGTTCTTCACGTACGTGACCGTTATGGTCGATTACTAACTGCGTGAGATTACAATTCACTAGATGCCGATCCCGACAAGTGTTATATATAAAAAAACAAAAAAAAACGAAGAATGTCGATTGAGTGATACGATAACAATCGGGGAAAACAACAAGTAACCAGCGACAGTAATGTAGCGAGTGATGTCTGCATGTGGTGTGCAGATTGTGTCACGAACGATTACAAAGAAAAAGAAGACAATTAACACGAATTAACATTCTCTGATTATCCAGGTGTCTTCTGAGGAAGAGTGCTACAAGCAGACTTTTCTTTTGTGCAAAAAGATAAGTTTAAATCAAGCAAAAAAAAAAGCACAAAGCATCGAACGTGCCGCGCATATTTTCTCTTCGTTAAATATTACTTGTGAATTCAATAGCCGTACTACTGGAATCAACATCCATTATTATTCAATTACAGTTAATTATATCACGTTAATAGCGTTATAATTAATTTCTGGCTGACCGTCAGTCTAATGTATTATGTGACACATGAGAATTCCGGATAATTTGTAATACTCAGTACAAGGTTCAATTTATAATAATATAACTGTGAAACATACGCACTATGTAATAATAATCAACGAATCACACGAATCACCTGACCAACGCAGTATCGCAATTTAATCTAGATTGCAATCTGAATTCAAGGTTGCCATTTGAATTAAATTGAGTTGAAGATTATTAAGTTGAATCGATTAGTTAGAAAACAACACAAGTACGGAATTTATAATAATCAAGATAAATGATGGAATGCGCTTTACGTGTAGATATACAATCTATGTGAAAACAACAAGTTTACGCAACTACATCGCAAAGTTGATAATCTTCGATTATCAACATATAATGT